GATTGTCTTGGACAGGTGGCCGTTAGAGCAGGCTCCACTGTGCTTTAAACTCTTCAGACAACAAAAATCTTAAAAGTTGAAGACATATAATAATATTACATTCTTTCTAGTTTTAGGCTATATATGAGCAATACAGCTAAATTATATATGATGTACTTATTTTGTTTTGTTTTAGTAGAGGTTTTACGGCGCTCGCAACTGCATAAGGTCATATGAGCGCCAGAAGATTAGAGATGTTACAAGAGAGTAACAAACATAAAAAAGGAGGGGAGATAAAGACGATACATGTTTGATAGGAAAGAAGAAGCAAACCACACCAGAGCACCCGCCAACCACCCACATGTACTTATTTACTTTAAACTGATGTATCAGACAAACAGAAACAAAGTTAAAAAATAACTAAGGAGAAACAAATAAACAAGTAAATGAAATTCACCACGAGTTCCCAGTCACCAAAAATGGAGAACTCAGTTCACTAAGAACGTAATTTACCTTTGAGGCATACGACAATTTGAGTAAATAATGAATGTATGGTTTGTCACCAAATGAAGACTTTATGAATGCTGAGCTGTAGCAGGCAAATTATATTCCAGTGCAACAGCATTGCCATCTATATAACATCCAAGGGAACAAAGCGTGGCCCAATGAAACTACACGGAAACCTGTCAACACGTCTAGAGGCCCACTGTCAACACGTCTAGAGGCCCACTGCCTTCGTTCAAGTGACAGGTCACTCTAACTTGTGAGCAAGGAAGAACAACCCTGTATCTACTGCATCATTAAAATGGTAATAAAGACCAATAAAGATCTTTGAATAATAAAAAATCTTCTTTTTCTCAAACTCATGGGAAATGTAAAGCTGACTCATTAACTTAAAGTCAAGGTGCAACTAGTTAGTTAAATATAAATAAATATGTAAAACGGAGTATCTCCTACAAATAAAAAGAATCTGTAGTTCTTTTACTTACTCAAGAATGATTTCACAGGTTCTTATGTAAAAAAAAAATAATTTTTTTTTTTTAATTTTCGTTTTGGCTACTGATTCAGAATTTTGCCCTGACAGCTGGGCTTTACTTTACCATCAAACCTGTCCTCTTTGTCTTTCAACAATCAAAGCCATCTTTTTTGCCTTCCAAAAATAAAATACGTCTTCTTTACCTTCCTACGATTTAAGTGCCACAGAAACCATAAAAGGTACTCAAACATGATTGGAAAACTCCCAAGAAGGATGCAAATCAAACGAATTTTGGTTTTAAAATAACTTTTAAACTGCTTTACTGATGACTTTAACCAAGATGGTTGAGGTGGCAAGCAGACAATTAAGGAGATGAGGAGCCAAATTGCTGTTGAAGAAAATGTCAGACTTTTAGACAGGGAAAATATCAAAGGCCATTGATTGGAACAACACTATAAGCAAAATATCAAATAATACTAAATCACAAGCGTCTCTCCATAAGAATGTTGGCGAGTGCAAGAAAGAGTTAAAGTAAGATTTGTGAATAATCTGTGCATGCATTCCATTGAAAAATGGGTATGTGGTCAATACATCGGAATATATGGCTGTATAGTACTGTATACTGACTTAAAAGATCTAAAAATATACTGGAAAACATGTATATATACACAACACCAGGTATGAGAAATGGCTATTTCTAGATATTTGGGAAAACGAAATGGGGTTAAAAAAACAAAGTGACTATTTCTCCGAACGTTCGGGAAAATAAAGCTGACCTCTATTTCTCCGAACGGTTTCCGACCTCGAGATTTTTTGGGTTATTTGCGAGATTTAGGCGTCATCCTTTCATTCTGCCATTCTGCGAGGACTGGGAAGAAGCATTTTTTGCATCAAATTCAATTTCTAGAGCTAGAGATTTTTAAATGTCTGAATATTTAGATATTTCAGTTGTGGTTGGGGCAACGTTCCCGGACTACATGTTTACTTCATTTGAAAATACTTTCAAAAGATACTGCGACAAAACAAGACTGCTCGACCTTGGCAGTAACCTATTTCGCATTTACTCACCCAGCAAAAACTAATATCATTCATGTAAAAAAAAAATCCCCTACAAGCCCCC